GTAATGTTTTGCAACATCTATGTTAGCTTCTGTAAGAAGTTGTTTTATTTCCGAGTGTTCTAACTTAGACAACTTCCGATACATCTTTAGTAGGAAATAAAAAAATTTCTTAGAAAAAAATTAGCTTAGATTTTTTAAGGCTAGTTTTAAAATATTTCGAACTTTTTATTATAATGAAACACATGCAAGATTGCAAGTTCTTTTCATACAATGCTCTCGCTACTGCCATCAAGAATGAGTTCAATGGTGCTTCAAACGTCAATGTTATCTTTAACAAGAAGTTTGTGAAAGAATCTAAGTTCGGTCAGTATGTCAGACCATTAGCTATTGTCATTGACCGCAAACGTTATACTTCACAAGAGTTAGCAGTAGTTTTGAAACAAAAGAGTTTCTTCGTGAATGTCAAAGATACTCATTATACTGTCATAAAGAACTCTAACATTGACTTCTTCAGTATTGCTATGAATCTTTCCGAACAGAAAGAATATAAGAAGTGTGAAACAAATGTGAAATATTATCCTTCATCTCTGAAGACAATAACGAACAAAGATGTTATACAGAAATTCTTACCAAAGGTTGAAGAAGCTTCTATTGACATTGACGAAGGAAGTGAAATGGTTGAAGAAATTGACCCTGACGTCATTTAAGCAAAAATATATTTTTGGTTAGTCTTCATATCGACATTTTACAACAATTCCCCAATGTATAAACTTTTCATACGCTTTTTCATAAGCTTTATATACCTTCAGAAATTTTGCATAATCTTTTACATGTTGTTCGTTCTCTTCTTCTGTCATGAGTTCCGAATATTCTAAATTCATGTTCTTTCATATGAGATAAATTTTATAAAAAATATAGCTTAGATTTTTTTATTCTTCCTCTTTGAAGTTATCGAAATATTCTGTTATTTTTTCCTTCAGTAGCGGTAAGTCTTCTTTGAATGTAAGTATTGTACAACCTCTAATATCATAATGTGTTTGAGGAAGAGTATTTTTGACAATTTCCTTTATTTGCTCATTCGGAGTCATTGAAATCGGTAAGTTTTCACGATAGAACCAGTTTCTGTCAGATTTATATATTTTAGCGAGGTCATAAAAGCTCTTGTTGTTTCTTCTGACTAAATGCAACATAACCATATCTTTATCTTCTTCTTTCTCCAACTCTTCAGTATATATCATATACTTATAACTCTTTTCCTTTCCTTTTGGTACTGAACGCGGTATTCTATTCTGTATGCTTTTGTCTTTGGATTCAATGACTTCATTTTTTGCTTGAAGTTTCTTTTCCATCTCTCCACGTTCTGCTTTATATAGTTCATCTAACATCATGAAAATATAACAAGCATAACGAGGTGAAGCCCACATTGCTACAGCATTTACTAAAAGTCTATGAACATAATATCCTTTCAAACCAGGAGCCAAATTCTTGCGATTTTCGTACGGAATCTCTTCTCTCGGTTTTCCGAGGGAAGCAATCATATGAGGAAATTCTTCTAAAAGTTCTTTTGTCTGTTGGTTTTCAAACCAATGATATGATTGCTTTGTAGAACGAAGAGCATTCATTATACTTTGCATTTGGTACATGTCATCTTTGACCGAACGAATGAGGCGAAGTTGTTTGTTATATTGTATGTACTCGTATTCTTCATTTATGGCTTCATGAACGATAGCAGTTGTTGTGTTCTCTGATGTTGACATATCTGTTCTTACATACAAAATAAAAAAATAAATAAAAATAAAACTAACTTTATTTTTCTGTGTTAAAGAAATGTTAAAAATAAACGCTTTACATGTATTTTTCAGCAACTTCGTCAAATAATTTTATAGCTTTATCTATCTCATCTACTTCAAACGTTTCTTTACCTTTCATGGGAGCACCATACATTTTCTCAAAAACTTCAAGCAGTTCTGTTTCAGCAGCTCTCATATCATTAACGAACACAACCTTGACTCTATTGACTGTACTGTCATATCTTTGAGTTATATTATATGTTCTTCCTATCTTATATCTCTTTGTATTGAAGTCCTTCGGTTTCTGAACGATGTAAAGTAAGCCTTCACTGCAACGTTCTGAGTCGAATGAACCATAAGTTATGAAGTTATATCCAACAACTGGGCCTAACCATAACAAAACTATTGGTATAAGACTTTTGTCTATAAGATATGCTCTTGTTCCATGAAATGCTACTGATATCATAAGCTCAGGATTTCTTGTCAAAATTTTCTGAGTTGAAGCATTTCTAACCCAGTCGTTTGTTTTCTTTCCAGATGGAGATATAATGTCTGACAAAGAATATTTGTTGTATTTCTTTGAGTATCTTACGTTTAAATCACCTATTCTAACCACTTTGGTGTCATTGTCAATCTTTCTAACTGTTTCAAACTCAATGTTTGTCATTACTGTTCTTACATACAAAATAAAAAAATAAAATTAGCGTTATTTTTCTAACTAATGAAATTCATTATTTTTGTTGCTGAATTCAATAAAAATATTTTTAGGTGAAGAGGTGAGATTTCACCTGTTTTCTCACCTAATTTTTCACCCCAGTTATTTTATAAGCGTTTTACATGGTAAACGTTATTTTTTAAATTTTGTGAAAACTCAACGGTTTGACACATGCCCTAAAAATTATTTTACTCAGAATTTTGTTGCTGAATTCAATAAAAATATATTTTAGGTGAAGAGGTGAGATTTCACCTCCTTTCTCACCTAATTTTTCACCCCAGTTATTTTATAAGCGTTTTACATGAATTGTACGATGTATATTTGAAATTCTAAACAATTTCGTAGCTTCTATTTCTTCTGTCAGTATGTCAAAAGTTTTAACAATGTCGAAAGTTTCTTTATACTTCTTCTTGACGTCAGATAGAAGGAAATCGTCAGCTGTTGGATAGTTTTTGTTCAGAAATGCTAACATGTCCATTTTATCGTCTGCTGGTTTCTCTACTTCTTTCTTTAAGTCAGCATAGTCGTTTCTCATACGTTCTATCTCTTTGACGGAGTAGTTATATTTCCTCATTGCTGCTTTACATTTTGAACATTGCGGATTCATTTTTGCGTTATACATTGAAATTTGACCTGCTAGAAAACTAAGGCGTCAATGGTTTTCTTTAACTCAAAAGTTGTTGGTTTTATTTGTCCATTCCATATTTTACATCTTTTATCTTTATCTCTTATCTGCCATACACATTCAGCAACTAATGAAACAAAGTTGTCGTATGTCTTAAACTCCCCAGATTTATATATGTCAGAGATGTTCTTATATACCATGTCGCAATCTTTGTTTATAACTTTATGGTTGCAATGAAAACCAAGGAATTCATAGTTTACTTTACGTATGAACTTCTTTATTTCTACTGAATCAGTTGGTTTCACTTCTATTTCATCGAATTCATGAATAGTTAGTTTTTGCTGCTGAATTTCAGGCAATTTGGGTAAATGGTCAATAATGTCCTGCATGTCATAAAGATACTGTTCATTTGTTTCATCTTTCGCACTACAGTCTAAATTACTTGTTAAAAGTTCTTGCTTAATTCTTTGTATTTCTGTCTCAAAAGTATATGAAGAAGGAATAAAGCTTTTCATCTCTACCAACATTGACGTAGGATTCATGACTAGCGAGTTTGGTGCTGTAGTTGTTTGAATTGTTGTTGTGCCGATTGTTGAAATCATATCTTTTATACAAAATAAAAAAATAAATAAAAATAAAACTAACTTTATTTTTTCTATCTTAAGGAAATTCATGAAAATTCACGAGACCCAAAGGGTCTGAGCCGCTAAGCGGTGAGGGTGAAAAAACAGGTGAAAAAAGAGGTGAAATCTCACCTCTTCACCTAAAATATATTTTTGTCTGATTTACATCTAACGAAAAAGTTTAGAAGAACTTTCTTATTCTTTCTGGCATATTTTTGTCTTTCCAGTACTCCCGCTCTAATGGTCCCAGATGTGTTGGTTTAGATTCTCTCAAGTTCTTAGATGGTATAACATCTTCAACGCCTCCTTCATATCTTACTTTATAAGTGTCATCGTTTGTGTTATAGCCAAGTATTTCAATAACCACTCCTCGCTTTGCTTCGTCAATGGTTTCAGCAAGTTTGCCATTACTACTTTCAACTAATTTATGTCGAGGGTAAAATGCAATGGAGTCGTCGGCAGCTTTTATAAGATATCCATTACCTTGCGTAGAGTCTACGATATAATAATTTCGACTTAACCTTAAACGTTTCTTTGTCAACGGTTTGTCGTCAAGAACTACACGAACTTTTGTACCAGGAATGAGGGTAAATTGTGTTGAATTTCTGATATTTTGTGTTTGGCTTCGTTTCTTTTGTATATACTTTTCTTCTTGTTGTTGTGTCATTGAATTTGGTGTATGTCCTGTTGTAGAATGTGTTGAGGAATTATATACTTCGAGAAAATGTTTCATTGTTTCTTCGGTAAAGTCTCGCTCTTGATTTAAATCTCTGAGAGTCCTTATGAAGCGGTTTATGATGCCGAGTATGTTATGGTTATGGTCTTCAGTAGTGTAGTGAGTTATGTTATGCTTAATGAGAAAATCTGTGATTTCATTGCTGAGGTATGCACTGTCTTGGTCTGATGTTAAAGTACTTGGGCTATGTTCTGCTACAAACTTTTGTAAAACTCTTAACACTTCACGAGTTCCTTTATTCCTCATTGGATATGCATATGCTTTACGAGTGTTAACATTAATGAAGATGAGGAATGGTTTATGTCCTCCATTTCTGCTTTGAATGAGAGTGTCAAATTGGTATGCGTCGGGAGTGTTGGAGTAAATTGGTAAAAAGTAGTCGTAAGGGTTTATTTTTGTTTGATGTACAACATTTTTGTCAAAGAACCTTTTCACTTCAGCTCTGTTAGTAAATCCCCAACTTTTTGCTGCTTCATTGAACTTCTTAAATGACCTCCATGGATGTTGTTCGAATACTTCTTTCAAACTCATTTATGTAAAAATAAAGATTTTATTCTAGGCTCAAGCGCGTTCATTGAACGCGGTACCATGCATAAACTGTCATATAAGGTGGCATATAATCTTCACCCGAGCCTGTTGGATTTGTTGTAAATGTATGTGAATGATTTCCTGCGGTTCCACAGAAAATACCTGTGCTTGAATCTACTGGGTCAGTTGTGATATCATATCTATTCATTCCCCATCTATCCGAACCCGCTGCAAGATTTATATAACCTCTTTTTGTTATTGAATGTGAATGATTTCCTGTTGTGTTTGTCGTTCCTGTATGAGTGTGCGGTGGAAGGTTTGCTTCTTTAATTTTCTTCGAACCACCTGTTTGCTTTGAAGAGTTAGCACAGTATAAGAATTTGTCTACAATCTGCTGCCACGTACCAAAACCTAAAACTGTTTCTGGATTTGTTGAATTCATTGACGTATAAATAGAACCAACAGGATATATGGTTTGAATAACCTGAGCTTTCATTGTTTGAAGCTCATGTTTAACGTTTATAACTTTATTGCCATCTTTAATATTATGTTGTTTGTTATTAAACCGTTTCTTCCTGTTTTTGTTACTATTTCGATGCATGCTTTAATTTCTTTAATCTTGATTGTTTGAAATTCTTCATGTGTATGGTTCTTGTCGGCTTTTCCATTAAGCGCAGCATTTACTTCCGACTTCTTTGCATAATTTTCATCTACATAAGTTTTGTCGGCTTTCTTATCTAACATTGCTGGTAGTTCGTATGCTTCAAAGTTTCTGGCATGACCTTCAATGTTCATACATCTGTTATCTAAATTGTTTAGTGTATCTTTTACGCTTGTACTCGGATTTAATGAAGGTGCACTTGAACCAAGGGTATAGTTCAATATTACATCGTCTGCTCTAACAGTAGTGAAGGATTCATGTGTATGGTTCTTATCTGCTTTACTATTTAATGTAGCTTGAAGTTCATTTATATCGGAGATATTGTGTTTATGAGATTTCAAAACTTTGTTCGTTGCGTCAAGTTCATCTTTGTCAGCTTTACTATTTAATGTAGCTTGAAGTTCATTTATATCGGAGATATTGTGTTTATGAGATTTCAAAACTTTGTTCGTTGCGTCAAGTTCATCTTTGTCAGCTTTACTTTTAATAGCATCTTCAACGGTTATTTTTGACTTAACTCTCAAAGTAAATCTTGGTTCAACTAATACACCGTTAACAGAGAAACTAGAAGCATAAATTTCATCGTTATAACCAAATGCTTCTGGTGCTTTACTTGTGTCATACTGTACAGTACAGTGTATGTCATAACCTTTAGCACGAATGTATTTATATCTTCTTTCATTAACATCTTCCGTCTTCACTTCTTCAGTTCGTGTTAAATATCCATGGTAGTCCGTTATAATCTGTTCATCTGAACTTATATAATGAACATGGTTTTTATCTGCTTTATTATCTAATTTCTCATTAACATCATTCACTTCTAATTCAACTCTTCCTCCAGAACTCTTATTATCATTTATTTTCTTCATTAATTCCGTAATTACATCATAAAGACTATATTCTGTTTTCGGTTTTGTAAATAATGAGTCAAAATTTCTTTTCATCATTACATCGCTTACATTAATGATATCAGCTATACCTTTTTCATTTATTCTCTTCATTAGTTCTGCAATAATGACGAATATATAATCTGTTAATTTATTCTCTTCATCGAGGGTTATAGAATGTTTTGAAATCGAATCATTAACGCCTCTAAATAAATCAATAACTTCAGGATACACGTTTTTAATGTCTCGAATAACCCGACCAGTATCCTCTGGTTTCTTCTCTTCTTCGTTTCCGTCGTTACGCGGCTTTATGTCTCTAACCATCATCAACGCAGTCATAACCGGAGGGTTTGTTGCTACCTGTTCGAAAATCCGTCCGTTATGTACGGTATATCTAAATAATTTCTTTGTGTTTGTTAAAACATTTGAAACAAGTCTTTTAAAACCATCTACAAAATTTCCTGTTTCACCTAATGTTCTTGCAGCATTTACAAGCTCACCCATTCCCGCTTTTGACCCCAAAAACGTCCATATTGCATTTATTTCACTCTGTATTGTTGTCCATTCAGCAAAATTAATACCCGCATTCGCTAAGCTGAAAATGAAATTCAGTGGATCGAACTTAATTCCACCTGCTTTTTCAATTTCAACGAACTCACTAACATGAGATTTTAAATATTCTTTCGTTAAAATCGTTTTTCCGGATGTCATGCTGTTAACGGAACTATCACCATCAAAAGTTAACGAATTCAATTTCGTCATTGGTGCTTTTATTTCATACACCGCTTTATCTATAGTTTTTGGCTCACCTTCTTTAGAAGTGTATGAAACATTAATGAATGAATTATATGTATTCATGAATGAGTTAAAATCAATGATTTTCATTAATGAAGCCTTTAATGATTCATTAACTGTTGAATCCCTTAAAACAATTACTGAACTGTCATTTATGAAAGGTACACTGCAAACCGTCGAGTTTGGATCAAATGCTGTAGTTGGTGCAGGAATATTAATGATATAAGTCATTAAATCATTAAGTGACGTAAATAATGTTGTCGTTTTTGATTTAATTTCTTTAGCATCTGTTATATATGGTAATTTTATTTCTGTAGTTTCTGAATTAAAGATATTCGCTAAAATGTTTTGTAAACTGTTTTGAACAGCAGTATAAACCGTTGAATTCGGAACCCTTACGATTTCACTATCCTTAATAAAAGGCATTGCACATGGCGTAGTGCTTGGGTCAAATCTTTCGGGATTATAATTCAACATATATTCTAACGCTTCATGAACAGACTTATATACTGTTGTGTCGTTCTTCATGACAACTTCACCGTCCTTTATGAATGGCATAGTACATGGAGTTAAAATTGGGTCAAACTTTTCATAGTCCTTCCATGTTATATATTTCTCAGTATTTCCATCACTGATAACAATATATTTGTCAGTAAGTGTGAGAGAGTATTGACCAAAATATAAACGTTTAGCTCTGTCAGCTTCATACGCATATGCAGCTATACTCATATTTTAATGAGAATAAAATGTTGTTCTATTTGCAAAGTACATACCCGAACGAATACGGGACAGTAAAACTACAAACAAACTTAGGTCTACAGAATGAGCCACTTGCATTCAGAATGGTTGACTTTAATACTATTGCTTCATTCGTTATAACTGACGAAACAGATTTCATGGAGATTGAAATAGATGGAAAGAAGCACGAAATAAGATTTCACAATAATGTAGAATATAAGATGGAAACATTAGCTGGAGTGTTAAATGCTCTCATAAATACTACAATAAACAAGGATAACGAAGAAAACTTAATGAATGTTAAACTTATTGCAGGAGTTTTGAAGTTCAGTTATGCGAAGGAGTTTAAGATAACACGAATGAGTCATAGAGTACAACTTCTTTTGGGAGCATACCATATGACATTTCCTTTGAAAAGTGTTGACAAAACGATTGAGATGAAATCTGTTCCATATGTATGTTATGGCAATTGTTTGTACATTGAGTCAAAAATAGCTAATGTCACAGGTATTTCAGGAGTTAATAGTAAAGGTTCAGTAGAATATAAATCCTTCTGTTATGAAGTAAATTCAATGTTCATTCCAAACGTTCCTGTCATAGCAACTCATTTAGGTAAATGGGTTCGCATTAGTCCTCATAATTTGAAAGACATGCAATTCAGACTTGTTGACTTTCAAGGAGAGCCTGTAGAACTGAAGGCACCAGTGCGAATGACTGTTGAAGTTGACTTTTTAGAAAATATTAAATGCAACAGCTTACAAGAGAACTCAGAGCTAAAAATATAAAGTATAAATGTTATGTATTAGGTCATGAACTTTGGTTGTTGTTGTTTGATGAAACAAATGAGTTAGTTATGTCAGTCAAGAGAACAGAAAAATATTGTGTTAGTGAAAACTGCACCAAGTCAATAAGATTAGGTTTGCATTATGAAGATGAATTCGATACTGTTGAAGAAGTTTTGGATAGATACTATAAGTTGCTTTAATTTACTAAAACATATTTCAAGCAAAGTTTATATTCTGTTGAAAGTTTTGTATACTCGTTCGAATATTTATACTTAAACTCAACTCCTGTAGTTCCTGGTGTTTCAATGATGCGGATGTTACCTATTTTCATGAATATTGGCGTTTGACCACAGCATTCGATTTCAGGGTCGAGATAGTCAATGACACATTGTTTCCCTGTTATTCGTGAGATAACATTTTCAAGGTCCTCCTTTGTTAGAATTATTTGGTTCTTACTTATAAGATTTACCAAAAGCTTCTTATCGTCTTTGAGTAATATTGTTTGATATAACTGAAGAAGGTAATGGTCTACGTTATCTGAAGGATTTGTTTGAACATTTGTGTAAGGGTTGTCGTTGGCTTCTCTTGAAAGAACTTGGTCCAGTGGTGGATACTCTAACTTAACATCTGATGTAGCGTTAGCGTTTGAAGCTGAGTTTAAATTCACCGACTTAAGTTCTGGTTCTTTTTCTTTCAAACACTCTGAACTATAGTTCTTTATGACAATATTGTTTGTCGTTCGTGAGTCAACATTTGATGTTGGTTCAATTGGAACATTAACAGCACCAGCTAAGATGGATTTGCTTCTCATTTCATATAGAATAAAAACCTTTTATATGTATGAAATGAACAATATACTCGACAAGGGTTTGAATGTAAAGCTAACGAATGAAAATATTGTTGAATTCACTGAGACAGGAGCTGTGTATAAAGACGTAGAACTACTGAACAAAAGAGCTAAGGGAAGAAGCAGGAATATGAACAAAGGGTGGAAGCCTATAAAAATTTATGTCAATGATGGCTCAGGAGGTTCAAACATAAAGTCTGCAGAAAGTTATAGAGTTTATGCTCTCAAAGGTGAAAAGCCTTCATTTAAGAACAGCTATTCTAACGCATATCCTCAAAAGCTAACGGATGGGGAAGTGGATGATATGAATGACAGCAAAAATATTAACAGAAATGGCGACAGAGATGCATGGAATTTGTTTACCATCAGTCAATTGATAGGTTAACTTTAAAACAATGTTGGTCGTTCCCATGGAATATTTTTGACTTTAATGGTATTAGTCATGATATGAATCTCAAGGTATGAACGAGGAGAGATGAGAGACTTATATGCTTCCCAAATTTCTTCAAAAGGTAATGTTATACCTGACTGTTTCCAAATGAGTTCAATATCATAGCGTGAGAAACCTTGAAAGATAACGAAGTCAGTTATGAGACGTTTTATGTTTAAAGCAAGAAAACGCCATGTTTGCATAAGTATTGCTACAGTTAAATGGTAATGTCTGACTTTAGTTATGATGTTAGCTAATGGTGAGTCTGGTTTGACACTAAACCTTTTCCGGCGAAGTCGTCACAAACGAGCAGAGTGTTTGAAGGATACTTTTTGAAGGGGTATTTTGAAAGTTTTGATAGAATGTAGTTTGTCAGTCGTTTCATATCGTAAACTCCTGAGTACTGACGTAAGTGGTGTTTGTCAATAATTCTTTCCATCTCCTCAGAAGTCTTTTGCATTCCTGACTGTATGAACTCTACGATGGCATAATATTTCTCTTACGTCGAATGTAACGTTGAAGAAATTCAATGAGTTCACTGTCTGGAACTTTAACGACAGAGGCTTGAAATTTTGACATAAATGTTTTCGCTGTTGAATCCATAGAGTCTGAAGTTGCTGATATAATGATTTGGTCATAGTAAGAGTCTTTACCTAAACGCTCTGTTATGAGTATATGACGAATGAGGTTAAATGTCTTACCTGACCCCATCTTTCCACAATAGAAATACACACCATTTGAACAGAATTCATAATCTTTGCTGAAAGGAAGAATAAGAGAAGAGTTAAGTTTGTCTGTAGTTTCATTCATGTCTTCATCTACGTCATGTATTAAATGCTTCATTTTATCTCCATTAAAAATGCAAGTCAGAAATATTCAGAACATAGCACCGAGTCTAACTGACAAGAGTATAAAGATATACTATGAACACGTTATGATGAAACCAACCAAAATTCAAGAAAGTCAGTATACTTATGAATATCCAAGACACTGGGTAGAGTATGTAGGAGGTGAGAAAGCTATTGAAATAAGACAAGTTAGAAGTATTCCAGCAGGAAGAACAATATTATTGAAGAACTTTAATGTTTTGAGATATAATGATGAAACAAAGAAGCAAGATAGTTTCCCTGTTGCTGTGTATGTGAACTTAGATACAGGAGATGACATGAAAGTTTTTAACACAAAGCTTCAAACGGTAGTGAAAGAACAACTTACTGCAGAAGGACACCCATTACCTTCAGAAGTTACCATAGCATATAATTTTGAAACAAATGCAATAGATTTTAAAGTCGTCTCTGCAAAGAAGTCAGGATTTACATTTAATGAAGCAGATGTATATTCGAATGAAAACTTCAAAGCTATTGCATGGTTAGATAATGACGATTGCTTTAAGAAAATCTTTAAATTCAGTGACTCAAAGATGTCAATAGATGACCTTCGTGGAATGTTACCATCGACGTTTACAGTAGAAGGTTCAGCAGGATTGCTTACAAAATTGTCAATTGGTGGTATTTGGTCTCGTGAGAACATTGTTATAAAATCCAGTATAAGTGAATTTGCTGAAGAATCTATATTATGTCTTTCAAACTACATGTATTCGCCGCCGAAGCATTATAGTATAACAAACTTTGTCAGTAAGTTTAACATAAGACTTGTCGAACCTTCTTCAATGAAAGATGTTGTGCTACCTAAAGATGGAAAGGATGGACTCATTATTGAGATGATTTTAATTGCATATTAAATGAGTTTGTTCTTGAAGGTCATTCATGATGAAATAACTGTTGTAGAAGATGTTAGCAATTGTTCAGACATTTTATTGAGAATAGATGAGATAAGAAAGAAGTTTATGAATGAGAATGTTTATGTTTCATTGACTTTCTCCAGTAATGAGAACTTTTATGAGATAATATTGAAGAGAGATGATTTTAATATGGTGTAAATGGTAGTTTGGGCAGCTTTAGGAGCAATGGGAACAAAAGCATTAGCATTTGGAGCAAAAGCACTTGGAGCTTATGACGCAGTAAATAAAATGAGTGGAGGAAGGGTTTCGAAGACATTAGATGCAAATAAAGGAAGATTGGAGGCTGGGTTGCAAAGAAGTTAAGATTAAATAAAATAGGGCTCATAAATAAAGCATCCAATTTGGTTGCGACTGAGTCGAAAATGCTTTAGGAAAGGACGATGAGTTTTGCAAAACATGCAAAAGACTTTAATGACCAGATGAAAGGTGAAACAATGCATTTAAATAGAGTCGATGGAACTAAAGAAAATGTTTCTTCTCCACTAGTAGTTCTTCCGTATGGTCCCTATGGAATGTATGGAAACCCTTACGAAAAGACCATTTGACCCATTGACTGGTGGAAGTAATTGGTATCATTACGGACGAAGAAGAAAGACAGTCAAGTTGGAGACAGATGTTAAGAAAGCAACTAAAAAGAAACCAAGGAAGAGAGTTATAAAGCAATGAATTCAAGGGTGAAAAAACAGGTGAAAAAAGAGGTGAGATTTCACCACTTCACCTAAAATTATTTTTGTGCTATGTTTTCATACGTGTGAGGGTGGTGATATCATTAATTTTTATATAAATGACAGAACAAAAATAAAGCATATCTACTCAACAGGAATGAGACCCTTACTGACTATGTATTCGTTTAATGCTTGATGAAAACAATGGTACATATTATCGTATGGGTATACACAACGTCTGTTTCCATCGTCGTCGTATATGTAGAGCTCAAATCCAGTCCAACCTTCTTTTGTACAATATGTAGCTTTATTTAAGTATGCATTTATGTAGATAAGGCAATTTTCTTCATCGCTCCAGAAATAATTTTTCGTCTTTGTTGAAATAGTTTTCGTTCCTCTGCGACCATAAGGAATGTATGCAATAAATTTAGCATCATAAGGTATTATAATATATTCAGGGTTTCTTTCATCGTCAATGGGTCTGTCTTTGTTAAAATGCATGTTTCTCAGTTTTACTTGAGTTTTGAATAGTTCACGGAAACGTTCTGGGAAAGAGTCATAGTAAATGTAGTCGGACATGTCTTTGTAATGAAATAAAAAATTTAAAAAAAATAAAAATAAGTTTATTTTTTATTTAGTGAGGACGGTAGTGAATTCGTTAGTGAATTCGTTAGTGAAGTCGTTAGTGAAGTCGTTAGTGAATTCGTTAGTGAAGTCGTTAGTGAAGTCGTTAGTGAAGTCGTTAGTGGTTGGCGGCTTTGTAAATATTTAAGGTTAAGTTGGTGTTATGGTTGTGTTGTAAAATATACGTTAACGGTTTTGTAAAGTGTCAAAACCACTAAGTCGTGTACGGAGGCGTGCAGTGCCACAGTACTGAAGATAGTCATACTAACTGAGCTTATAAGTGGAATCAATGTGATAAGTTTGTATTTGATGTGAAAAAGCATTTGCTTCGAATGGGGCGTAATAGAAAATCATACGATCTGGCTCGTGAATAAACTCGATGAGATCATCTGGAGAATGACTCTTAACCATGTCGACAAAAATTGCAAGAGATGTAACATCATCCGCTGAGAAACGGGTATTGATTGCATGAAGGCGTTTAGAAAACTTTTTTAAAGCATCTGTAGATTGTCGAAACATTTCCGGAATGATCCCACTATCAAATGGGATATTAAGATCTTTGAAACACCTTAATTGTGCGTAAACACGGTCTTGATTTGATTCAAAATATCTTGTTAAATAGGATCTATAAAAATATGATGTAATTTGTTGTGATTTGTTTGGAAAAGGGGCAGAATGATTGTGGGTGTTAATACATTTTCGTATGTGGTACTTGTCATCGGGAAGTGTATCAACAAGGAAGCGACATGGACAATTCGGCCACTTACAATTAAATTGGATTTGATTTCTTTCTTTCCTAGTTTTATATGAATAACTACAACCTGCTTGGATTTCTTGTTGCACTCGATACTTAAGCAACTCGATATATGTGAGTTCGTGATCTTGGATCTGCATTAAAATGAAATGATTTGAAAGAATAAAGAATTTTGAATATATTGGTCTTATTTTGATAAGCTTGGTCGTGTTTTGAATAGCTTGGCCATCTAATTCAATTATGATCTTTGAAAATTAGGTGAAATAAAACTAAACATAAATGTAAAACTAGGGATATGAAATTTTGGTTGTACACCACTTGTATGTGCCGGATACCATTGTGTCAATTTTTTTCTGAAATTAACTTTAAAAGTACTAAGGAAGATCATGAGATATAGCAATATATGTTTAAACCAACTTATATTTTGGTTGTACACCACTTGTATGTGCCGGATACCATTGTGTCAATTTTTTTCTGAAATTAACTTTAAAAGTACTAAGGAAGATCATGAGATATAGCAATATATGTTTAAACCAACTTATATTTTGGTTGTACACCACTTGTATGTGCCGGATACCATTGTGTCAAATTTTTTCTGAAATTAACTTTAAAAGTACTAAGTAAGATCATTTATTTTTGCATAATATAATGCCAATATGGTTTCTTTTGATTTTATTTCATTTATAAGCAAATCAGATTTACCCAAAAACTCCACTCCATAAGCGTTCATTTGCTAAATTAAAAAGTGACAATGGGCTAGTCTGTCCCTTTCTCATTTTTTTAGCAGTAAAAATCAGAGAGCTTGACCAAATATGTAGCTTATTCGTGCTAACTAAATTGATTTTCATACTTTATTTTAAAATAAATAAAGATCGCAAGAATTTAAAAAGTTTAATTTTATATTATATACTCTTCTAAACGATTAAAATTGTATAAGTCTCTGTGTTCTAGCGGTTAGGATCCAACTTTCACACGGTTGGGATGCCGGTTCGACTCCGGCCAGGGACAGTTTTTTGTTAAAAATTGAATTTTTATTTTTCACTATTAGTTTTTTTTAAATATTAGATATCATGTTGTATTTCATGGTTCTAAAATTTTTCTTTTCAAAAAATTCATGACTACAATTTCATTCGATGAAATTAAAGATCCCCAAGAGCGCGAAATGCACGAGAAATATATGCAATTAGCATTAAAAGCAGCTGATGATGCTTTTGATGCTGGTGAAGTTGCTGTTGGATGCGTTATTATTCATAATGGTCAAGTAATCGCAAGCGGAGGCAATCAAACAAATGCAAAAAATGATGCTACAAGGCATGCAGAGTTAGTCACGTTTAAGCATTTAAAGGAATCTCGTAGTGATTATAAACAAATTTTAAAAGAATCAACTTTATATGTTACATGTGAGCCTTGCATTATGTGTGCAAGTGCAATAAAGATGATGGGCATCCCTAGAGTAGTTTATGGCTGTTTGAACGATCGTTTTGGTGGTTGTGGATCTGTTTACAATATTCATACACATGAAATTATGCCATCGTTACCAAGTTATGATGTAATATCGGGGGTTCTCGGTGAAGAAGCAATCGAAGCACTTCGTCGTTTTTATGGGCGTCCAAATCCCAAGTTACAATGATTTTTTATATTATCTGCACAGTGTATAAGGTTTATCATGATGAAGTCATTATCCAGAATAAGTTTATTCTCAGATTTCTGGAGATTTGATAATATTTTGATCTGTTTTTTTAAGAATTCAATATATGGATTACATAATATTGATTTACACCTTGAGATCAAGGTATTTCAAATCATGCTAAGTAATAATTTTGTTATTTTTCTTATGTTGTTAAAAATTTTTTCCATTTTTTTAAGAGTTTTTCAACAGGCACTTGGTTCATGAAGTTGGATCATTTTAGAGCAATTACATTTTATATAATGATAAAGATTTACCAATTATCTCTCACAATTCTAAAACATATCAAAAGGAGCATACCATTACTCTTCTTATTGGTTATATGGCATGGTATAACGTCAAATAAAGACCCATAACAGAAATCTGTAATAAAATTTTCTATAAAACCTATCAGAAACCCATAAGCGAAAGAAATATTTATTTCTCATACTATGCCGATCTATATTTTGGGAGTTAGAGCATATTATGACAAATCATGAATTTTTTTTCTGAAAAAAAATCAAATATAATATACTATTCATTATTAATTGATTTTTCAAAAAGTAATCAAAATTAATAAATAGTTTTTGTAAAGTTTACAAAAAAATTCTGGCATTTCGTTGAAAATATAAAAATGTCACGCCACGAAATCACAACTAACGAATTTCAACTTGATTCTAGGATGTTTTCCCAGAGCCTAGATGATAGAACTGATGCTCCGTGGCTGACTGACATTGATTCGATAAAATATTCCTCAATTATTTCAGAACCGCTCTCAGAACGTAAAGTGAATCAAGCATTACTCAAAGCGGATGACTCTAGTATGAAATTGGATGATTTTTTACTTTCAATACAATCAGATTTTGATATTCTCAGGAACCAACCAATTCTCGACGAAAATATTACAAACAGTCAAAATCTTCTCGTCAGACCGATTGTAACACCCAATCCAATTATAAAATATATGAAATTATTAAGCGTCGATTTTGATTATAAAGCTTCTGGACTTCCAAACAAAGTTCAGGCTTCCATTTTTACATGGAACCAAGTTCCATTAACCGAAATTGTTCAAATTAACTTCGAAGACAGTCCAGCGAAATTTCATCTCTTCAACCGCTGTTTAGGCAACGTTGTCATGCCATATACCGACGATATAAAGAATACGCATTTAATATGCCTACTCAAAATGGTCAAAGATCAGAATTCTGTCGTTCCATTTGCGTTTGGACACGCAAAATGTGACAAAGACGGCATAATTAATTTCTATTGGACCTCATTTTCAAACAATCTCAGCTTTTCAGAGCATATTTCCAAAGAACCATTACTAAAAATCAAACTTTCAATCACGATATCGAATAATGCCCATCCTGAAGACAAAATTACAGCTCGCATTACACCATACAACCCAATGATGCCATCTCCATTCCTTGTTATATACGATTTTCACATTCTCGCGAAATCTTCAATCGATAATTACAAAGTTAAAATTTTTATCAAAGATGATGATGAAAACAAAGAAAGTCTTTACGCATCACCCATGGACAGTCATTTAATCGAGCGATACAAGTCCCATGTCGCTTTTTCAGACACAACTTTATTTTTACCGGAGCCACTGATGTTTTTATTGAATCCCAGCTTCGACAAAACACTCACTATTGTCGTAACTGTATGTCAGGAAGGCGTAATCATGTCAACTGTCAAGCAAACGTTCACAATCAGATTAGATAAGGGTAGACAGTTCATTCACAAGGTTATTGACGGCTCAACGATATCTTTCGGATATCTGTATCCTTCTCTCATAGCTCCAAATGCGGAATTACGATTGCCAATGCAGATGCCAGGAGTTCCACCTCAATTTGACTCCACAGTGTTCGATGACCTATGGCCGTACATTCTTTTACGTAATTTGAACTCGAGCAAGTTCAGTTTGAACTTCTTGTCGGTCATTTTTCAACATATTCCTCAAGACAAAATTTCTAACTTCGCGGATAGGTACTTTTACTGCTCAGAAGAGTTCTTCGCGAGTTTCTTGGACCAAATGACCGCAGATCCAGGTATCGTAGAGCGTATTCCTTATCATTTATTCCCATTATTGTTCAAAGGATTATGTTTGCACGCGGAATTGATTGAAGTTATGATAAATTATATATGCGGAATCCTTGCTTCCGAAAAAAGAGTTCAAACTAAATCGGCGGCCATCGAAATGCTCCTAAGAATGAGATTGATTTTCGATCATGAAGAAATTGAATTAAAACTGGTCGGAATTATCAAAAAACTGACAGACCTTGAAAAAGTGGAAGTTTTCTGTATAATTTTCTCTGACGGAAATTTCTTAACAGATGCATGCCATATCAGTTTGCCAGAGGAGCCAGCATCGAACTACAACATGCTGATATCATTGTTCTTCTCTACAATGCATAGCATGCTCAAAACAAAAGGAAATGCACAATATGTTTTGAAAGCTTTGCATTATCTCACGAATACGTTACAGAGATATGGTTTGGATGGTGGACCAATACTTTCATCAGCATTCCATGTCTTCTTTCAGTATCATTCCCTTTTACAAACAGATCCTTCGTTTAATGCAGTCATTTTATCACTGCTCGACACGAAATTACCAGAATGCTCGCAACCACTCTTCGATAACCTATCTCATACTAGCCAAATCCAGTTAATTGACTTACTTCACGATATTTGTAAGACAAAACTGTATTTGGTGCACGCATTCAACTTTATCTTGCGGCTCAAGAACATACACGACTCTGTCTACAAGCCAATTGTCAATGTATTCATGAGTGGCTGTGATGTTCAATCTGCCGACGTATTGAGCTTACAAACTCTTTCGAAATTCATCAACGAGAATCCAGGAATCTACAACTCCAAGGAATCCGTCTTCTTCCTTGTCGAACAAGCCATACAACGCCAGAAAAAGAACAGATTCACTTTGGCCTTCCTTAAATGGTTCATTAGCTTGGATACTGTTGGCCATTCTAACGAAGCCCTGGTTTCCGTCTGTTTCGAGACGATTCAGTCGTTATCAGACATCTTAGATTTCTTTACTAAGAATAATTTCACGAAACCCTTCGAAAAACCTCCTTCTACACCTTTGCACTTAGAAGAAGCACTCATTTTAACAAAGGTCTTAGAAAAGTACGATAATGTCCCAGAAATTAAGAAGAACATTTTGAATAGGCTCTCAAAATTGAATGATGTAAATTCGGACAAAATCAACAGTGCGATTGCCGACGGAACATTTGAAGCGTACAACAAAGCCGGCCTGAATAACATGATTGTCAGCAGCAACAGTTACACGAACAACTCGTTCAAAGAGATAATTTCGAAGGCATCTTTAGAATTACAAGAAAAAGTAGAGACAGAGATTAATTATTACCGCATATTCGTCAGTGGACCAGTTGCCACAGCTCTGGAAGCCAGCGATTTCATTTTCATGGGCGATACGAAGAAATTAATTGAATTATTCAATAAACACTTCAAAGAAGTGAAGATTAATACGAAACTCATACCAATGTTCGGAACATTCCAGACTACGAACATCCAGATCCTTCCTGTGAAGCAGGCGAATCCAAAACAGTACGAATACGACTTCATGATGCCAGATGAGGGCTGGAATGATGTCTACTGCATCAGATACATATTCACAACCAATACAGACCTACCTAGCTCATGCGCTTTGGTCATTGCCAACCAAAATTCGAAGAAACAAGTTACAAAAGAAGAATTCTTCAAAGAAAAGTTCGAATCGGTCATTACATCCATTGATAAGTACATAAAGATACAAAGGGAGTTCATCCCTAGACAGAAAAACGTCAATCAATGGACAGAAGATCCAGTAATTCCATTTGCACCGGATTTGATCGATTCGATCTCAAAAATTGAATCGGCTCTTACTCCTACTGTTTCTCAGCTGATTCACAGCTCATCTCATTCTCCAGCAGCTGATTTACCTCAGTTCATCAAAGAACAGATAGAACTGTTAAAGAAGACAATGAACGAGGCTGTGCAGGTTATGTCTCAGATAGACGGATTGGAAAAGAAAGGAAGATACGCTAAGGCAATCGAGAATTGCAAATTGTTTTTGTAAAATATTTTTATTATTTTTTTTTTATAATATTTTGAACTTTTAAGGGTGCACCCGTATGTACGTTTATTTGAGAGGAGGAGGATTACCCTCTCAATTTTGAGGGATTCGTTAGTTTATTTTCTCGATGAATATGCAATAAAATTTGATTTTTACCTTATCAATATACTTCATATAATATACACATGTTCATGTAAAAACTTTTTTCCAAAATCCTCAGGAATTAAGGGATTTTTGAATTTTAAGAATTTTTTTCGAATTTTTTCGAAAAAAAAAATATTTTCAGAACAGCCTTAACGGCTAAGATTTAGGAACAATGTTAAGTATCAAAAAGAAAGGAGGTCTGATATAGACAACATATATCGTTGAAGGTTGAAAAAATCTCTAATATTTGAGCCCAAAATTTCAAATTTTAATTTTTTGAAAAAAGAGGCCACCCGTATGTACGTTTATTTGAGAGGAGGAGGATTATATTTTTGAAAGGGTGAAACATTATGAATATGTTAATTATATAATAATATGTATTATTATAAAAAAGAAAAAATAAAGCACGTTAAAGTTTTTCTTTCTTGATTTTTTACAAAATCTACTTAGAATTATGCAAAATATGACTAAATAATTATAAATTTCAAGTTAAATTTTAATTTTGATAAATAATTTAAATTTCAAAATGTCAAGTTCAGTTCGACTATGTATGTAGTAATTCCTCAATAAAGTGCCAAAACCCTATTAAAATATATGAACATTTTCAACATTTTAATGTTTTTATTTAAAAATTTGATGGAATATGAGCTTCAAACAATTATTATGTAAATAAAAATAATTAAATATATGTATTTAGTCGTATTACAACCGTAGTAAGTCGATTCTTCCTTTCTTCTACTGAGTTTTGAATTTGATTTCGAATTGTAAAGAGATTCAAAGGGAAAATACTAGCGGATAAAAACTACCTCCATGAAAGGGTCATAATGGAGTCAAGTTGGATTTTTTGATATTTTTTGCTTTTCGAGCCTAAATAGGTAGCCAAGATAATGCCTAAAAATAAGGTTCTAAATTCTGAAGTTTACATGATCCTCTCGTGTGCACCCTTAAGAGTGCACTTTCTGATATGATATATTGTGATTGCAAAAAAGAAAGTGCACTTTATCAAAATATCTTTATTGTGATTGCAAAAAAGTATAACAATGATAGAAGATACTAGGTAATGACTTAAAATAACTTCTTCCCGAACAAAGTTAATGACTTTTTACATTAGAAAATTTGGTTAAAAAACTAGAATGTCAGAAAAATTGAGAGAATGTCAGAAAGTGGTAAGTGCGCCCTTAAATGTTTTATTATTATTTTTTTACAAGCATGTTTTGATACCTAAATAAAGGAGAACATCAATCCTATCTATGCATATAGAGTGCAAACACGTATTATATATTGAATGACTCTTTATTTGGCTAAATATTCTAGAATTCGAAAATTTGCATTGTAGTCTAAAAATCGTCAGACGACAATAATAATACTCCCGTTTATTTTACTGGAACTATTGTCGTCTATGATGGAATTGATATTTATATGAATAAACATAATTGTAGCATACGTTCATCATACTCTATTCTTTCGCCGTTTCAAAATCTAAAAAAATAGCTTACATTTTTGTAAACTCACATAATATCAACATATCTTTATTTTAATAATAAAAAAGTATAACGACTATATGAGGTACTATGTATTGAATTATAATAACTTTTCCCCGCTCAAAAATATTATCTTTTTATCATAGAAAATTAGGATATATATAATAGATGACAAAAAAATTGAGAGAATGTCAGAAAGTGGCAAATACATCCTTTCTCAATAATTTTGGGACTTTTAATGAAATACTGCTTAAAATCATGTGTAACTCTTTCATTTAATTCAGATTTTGAAAGACTAGGGTTTTGCAAACTGGCACGGGTTTCGAGGATTCGTGCCAGTTACGGGCGTAAAATTGAATGGACAAAGGGCAAAAAGGGAAATTTTTGCAACATTGTGCCACTTTACGTGCCACTTTGCAAAACCCTATGAAAGACGAAAGCGAAAAAAAATACTGATTTCATAATAGATATCAAACTGTTGTAAACAGAAATTCATCAAAAGTGACACCTCAGAAAAGCTAAAATATTGAATTTTTGGAACTTTTGATAGAGCACGTTTTTAAATATTAATTAAAGTAAATGTATATTTTGTAAAGATTCTTTTTAATAAAAAAATAAAATTTTGAAGAAGAACACAAAATCTTCTGAAAAATAATATCACATAAACTCATATTATTTTCTAATATATAACTATTTTATATAAAAATCAAATTCAATGATCTTAAAAGCGAAGGATAAACCTCAAAATTTACGAATATAATGAGTGGGAATATAATGCTTATCTATCATAAAACCATATGAAATATCAATTTTTGCTTTACGCCTAATTTTTGACGACAATTAGCAAAAAATGTTAAATGTTAACACTCAGTCCATTTGAATATGAAAAATAAAATTGACTTTGATTAAATGTTTTTATTTATCATGCAATTCTTCTTGCGACCAAAGATTTGAATAAAAGTTCAAAAAATAAGATAGCTTAAAAAATAATATACGGTAGTGTTTACTAATAGATGAATAGTATATAAATTCTATTAAAATGAATTTGATCCAAAAAAATATAAAACCAAAAATAATTGTTATAATTTAAATGAAGAAGTAATTTAAAACGATTTTATTTATGATCAAATTTTATATATTTTTTTGGATCAAATCCATTTTAATAGAATTTATATACTATTCATCTATTAGTAAACACTACCGTATATTATTTTTTAAGCTATCTTATTTTTTGAACTTTTATTCAAATCTTTGGTCGCAAGAAGAATTGCATGATAAATAAAAACATTTAATCAAAGTCAATTTTATTTTTCATATTCAAATGGACTGAGTGTTAACATTTAACATTTTTTGCTAATTGTCGTCAAAAATTAGGCGTAAAGCAAAAATTGATATTTCATATGGTTTTATGATAGATAAGCATTATATTCCCACTCATTATATTCGTAAATTTTGAGGTTTATCCTTCGCTTTTAAGATCATTGAATTTGATTTTTATATAAAATAGTTATATATTAGAAAATAATATGAGTTTATGTGATATTATTTTTCAGAAGATTTCATTCTATATGCCTATGAAAAGTACTCACAAAACTCACTTTTTCCTAATTATAATTAAATCTAGAATATTGTATTATGCTTAGTATTATTTCATTTTTCTCATTCAATTTAGAATTTACAAATGTCAAAAAATTGAGAGCTGTCACTTTTGATGAATTTCTGTTTATTACAAAACGCATTTAGTTATAAGTAAAATCTATAACCTCTGGTTCAAAAGCATCTATTTCACCATTTTCGTCAAGATCGACAGGATTTGTTAGTGTGACGGGATTAACATCTACATCCTTGAAGAAAGGATGATCTCGAGCTGCTTCTAATGTGATACGTTCATTTGGATTAAGTTTAAGTAAACCTTCAAGTAAATCTTTCAAATTATTGAATTCATCAATATTATCAGGATTATCTGGATATTGAATATTACTACGTGTTATTAATATATGATATTGTAACGATTTATAAACGTCAGGAGGATCATAAAATGGGTATTTTCCATAAGCCATCATATATAAAATAATTCCAAATGACCAATTGTCAGCTAAATAATTATCTGTGTGTTAGTATCTAAAAATAAAAAAGAAAATGATGTCAATTAAAAAAATAAAATTGACATCAAAAGTATACATACATTTATTATCACCACGATGTTTCTCTGGGGCATTATACAATAAAGTTCCTCTTCCATTATCATAATATAAAATATCTTTATCATCTCTGATAAGTTGTGTAAATCCGAAATCGCATAATGCAGCAACCGTAAATCCATTCTCTTTTTTAATAAGCACATTCTCTAATTTGAGGTCGTTGTGGAAGTATCCCACACCATTCATGTAAATTAAGGCTTCCAAAATCTGTTTGCCTATGCATTGAACTTCTTTAATTTGTATTATATGATTTGGCTGATCAAGTAAGTAATAATAGAGGTCTTTCAGAGGATAATATGGCATAATAAAACAAACATAACCTAAAATATCCTTATTTGTACCATTATTTGGCAGATCTAATGAATTTACTATTGGAACTATGTTTGGATGCTTGAATTGGATCTGAATATTAAATTCTCGCTCAATATCGTCATGAGATGGGTTTTCTTTTCTAAATCCAATCAATTTTACGCACATTTTATTTTCGAAGCTTCTGTGTCTAAGTATAAAGGCTTTACCATATTGTCCACAACTAAAAATTGAATCATTAGTAATCATCTGATTTAATTCTTCCTTTAAAGAATCATCTACATTGTTTGAACAGTTAAATTGGGGTTTTTGATCATCGTCACTGAAAAATTCGGTCATTCTATCAAATTGGAAATGTCAAAAAGTGTCATAGTCAAAAAATGAAAGTATCATATGTGTTTATTTATATAAAATATAATAATAAAATTTATAATGAACCTTAAATGCCAATAGATTTCGGGTTTCAAATTTTAAAAATTTCTCCTGACTTTTCATCATTCAGCTCAGATTTATTTAAGATACACTTTGTCTTCATAAGTATAATGATTTCAATAAGTGAAGAAATCAGTTTGCTTTCATTATTAGTGAAATAACTTAGGTATACATTGATGAAAATACAGTGGTCCGGTTATGCATATAGAGCGATGCTTTGTAAAGTCACTCATGAAATATGACTACTAAAATCTTTTCCTATTTTCTTAAAATTTATTGAAAAATTCCGTATTTGTCATATTTAGACTTCAAGATGACATTCTTCTTTTCCATTTTTGAATTATTTATAGTTTTCCTAGATTGTCAATCAAGAAAATACAATTTTTTATTTTAAATTTTTATATTGTCGTTATAAAAGAGTATTTTGGAAAAATCTAACACTATAAATATGCGATATTTTGGGTATATTGACCAATTTTAAAATCAATTTAGAGTTTCAATCAAATTTAAAAATTTTCAAAATATCATGAATAAAAAGTGACTATTTTTTTTAATTTTGATGTCTCGGGGTTCAAATTCAGGAGTTCCAGCCAAACTTAATGATCCAATTATACCTGGGAATGTATCAAAAGCTCTTGATAAAAATTCTAAACTGGTTTGCAGTCGTTTAGAAAAAATTGAATTTCTAGATCAAGAAGAAAGGGCAAATGCTATTAGCCATACCAAAAGGAATGTTGTATCTATCACTTCTAACAATCATGAGATGTCAGTTTTTGCAAATGTTGGAAGATTTCGATTTGAAAAAAGTACTATTCACGGATTTGGCTTATTTACTACGGAAAAACTTCGAGCCCAAGAAAATCTAATCGATATTACATGCCCTGTTGTCAGAACATCGGTAGCTGAAATGAGATATCAAAAATATAAAAAGATTAATCCGAATATATCCTTTATTATTCAAATTGACGAAAACAATTACGTAGATTTAACAAATATACGAACACCCGCCAGATATTTAAACCACAGCTGTGAGTCAAATTGCCAACTCAAATTAGCCAGTTCAAAATCATCAGCAACAGTATCTATAGTTGCTAAACGCGATATACTACCATATGAAGAGCTTACACTAGATTACGGTATCTCTTCAATACCCAGAACAGAAAAAATACCATGTAATTGTGGAAATCCTAAATGCAGGAACTTTATAAACTGGAGGGAAGCTCCTGATGATAGATACCGCAATATACAATTCATGCACATTCAAATTCTTGCAGGAAATGGAATTATTAATCCAATTACAAAATCCATTATTAAACAAGAGATAAAACAGCAAGCTAAGTTGGCCAAAGAAGAAAAACAGAAGAAGAAAGAAGAAAAAATGTCAAAAGAAGAAAGATTAGCTAAAAAATCACCCAAAAAGCTAGAAAAAGCATTTTCCAAAGCTGTTGCCGAAGAAAAGTTAAATAAAAAACATAAAGAAGAGAAACCAGAAGAAAAAATCCAGGAAGAAAAGAAAATTGTTTTTAATGAAAAAATTATTGAAGAAAAATCTTCTAAAAAGAAGACAAAACCAAAGGTGAAGATTTCTACAGAACCTAGGACAACAAATGTTCTAATTCCACCTCCAATTTCCGAGATAATGCCATTTGCAAGGGTAAAATCAAATCCAATCCCTCCTCTACCTGCACCAGTTAAATATGATTTTTCTGTGGATCAAAAATACGTTTTTGACCCTCAAAATAAACATATTTCACTGAAACCTCCATTATTAAGCAACGACATTCAAATGCCTGATAGAAATTTGATTGATAACTTTGTTAGAACAATTCCTACATATGAATAAATTGTTTATATTATGTTTGTTTCAATTCATTTTAGATTTTACAAAGTTTTACTTTCTGCTAGGTAAAATTAAATATCCACAGTTTAATAACTACTAGAACATATCATATTTTCTTAATTTTATCCATAATACGCATCATATGAGATTATATACAATTTTGTTGCTAATAATGATCTTTATTGGCAAAAAATTATTATACTCATATGTTCCACTTGATTGCTTTGATGTGCTATCATTATTGTATTAAATTCAATTTCAATATTCACATTATTGTTAAACAATCAAGTTTTCTCACTATGGATAAATTAAAAATTGAATATCATTTATTAATAGAAAGTATCACAAAATAGACTTTATTCATATATGTGTAATGCGTTCAAAATACTGAACCAAATGATAATAGTTGGAACACACATTACAGTTGTCCAGAAAATCATTGTGGATGCGACATCTTCACCTAAATGAGCTCCTGATGTTAATGAATAAGCAGCGACAGCAGTTGGCTGAGCACCAATGACCATGCATTGTCTTGAAAGTCTCTTTGACATTCCCAATGCCTTGCACCACAAACCTGCGAAAATTGGACCAACAAACAATCTGATGAACATGCAGAAGAAGAATTGAATCCAACCGCAAGAAATAAGAGAGTGCTGAGCCAAGAAAACTCCAACGCAAACCAAAGCTAAAGCGAAAACCATAGATCCTGCGTAATCAAAGAGTTTGTTGCAGTAAATTGGATATGGAATACCAATACCTGAGTAAATAATACCAACAACGTTACCCCAAAGAATTGGGCTCTTTGCAACTGTAAGAAGAACTCTGCCTATAACTTTAATTGAGAACTTCTCTGGAGGCAAGCCATTTTCAACTCTCTTCTTATTGCCCATAATAACGTTATAAATACCAACCATTGTCAAGAAAGTAGGTGATGAAACTAAATCATTGCAAATCATCATCATAGAAACCATAATATGTTCACTTGGAGGCCACAACGCATCGAAAACGGGGATACCGGAAATAATGTAGTTAATATATGCAGTAGGGAATGATGTAGCGAGATATGTTCCGAACCTATCCTTAAACGGAAATATCATCATAAAAGCTAATGCTGCATAAGTAGTAAGAGCCATAAGAGCTGCAATACCGAATGGATGGAAATCCAATGTCTTTAGCTTCTTTGGAGCTATACCTTCCACAATTAAGGGCAGGAAGCCCACATAAAAAACCACATTATTTAAAGGTTGAGAGTCTTTTAGTGTGACAATCTTTAATTTCGCTAGGAGGAATCCAACTCCTATAATTAAAAGCATAGCAACACCGACCTGGATAACTTCGAGATAGTTAGTCATTCCAATGAATGATTTCCCAAAATAAAAAAATTTAAGATAAAAAATTGAGGAACGATTAATTCAAAAAGTTGAAAGTCAATTCAATTTTGACACCTAAAAAGTTCACAATTTGAAGGTTTGATAGTTATGATACATTCAATTTTTTGAGACATTTATGATGGTAAAACGATTAATGATTGTTATTTTATTATCTTCTTTTCTAAACCGATTTTATATACGTACTTAGTTTTTCAAAAGCACTTTGTTTGATGTTTTATCCCAAATAAAATGTTAATAATATAACAGCACTACTAATAGGCTATCCAGAAACTTAATGAATTTCAATTTATTTCTTGATTTACTCTGAATTTTCTACATGAGTCCATTATGAAGCAGAAATATCACTTTAAAGGTTCTTAGCTATCATTTCTCCAGAATGGATTTTTCTTCATCGTTGGAAAATTTCATATCAATTTTTAATTTTGTATTCATAGATCCAAAATATTCTCTTTCATATGTAATAGTTGCAGAAGCGTACATTAGATTTAACGTATATATTGATTGTTCTTTATTAGTTTCACCATATGGTCCACTCCATAATGATTATTCTTTAACTGATAACAGATTTTAATTTGTGCGACATTATATCAAAAATAAATCTATATCAATATTTTTGTAATTGATATATCATCCAAAACCAAGATTTTCCATAACAACCATAGATTTCATCTACATTAAATCTACGAGTATGATTCAACAGCTAATTGAATAGATTTTTATCAAAATTTAACCTAAAATATTTTATTATTTCAAATTTCAATAATAATAATTCATGCAATATCCACAAAATTCTACTATAATTTAACCGAATGATAAATATTAATATTTACAATTAAATTAAATATTAAACAAAAAATAACTAAATAAACATGAAATATTACTTCTTAGACTTACTTAGCAAGTCATAACATTTGTCGCAGACCTTTTCTGGCTTCTTTTCATCGATGTTTTCGATGATAATTTTCTTGGATACGCATTCTGCGCAAAGAACTCTTCCACAGACCCTGCAATGGTGTCTTCTCCTTGTTAAAGCATTAAATGGTTTCGAACATTCCATGCATTTGTCAGCAGCAGTGTCAGAAATCCAAATTGGAGCTTCTCTGTAAGTTTCTTGAGAATCTACAGCAGCTTTAGCGTTTTCTATTGCTTTCTTGAGTGCCATTTCCCATGAGGCCAATTCCTCGGGCGAATTGAACTGAAGAACGAACGATTTCTTCGGTGCATAAATCGCGATACATGGTTTATCAGCGGAAAGTATATCTATGCGCATCTTTGTAAGGGAATAATTGGCAGGAGCACGTAACTTGCCGTAATTTGACTGCGCGTACATGAACATGTCAGAAAAAAGGAAAATTTCTCTTTGAGTTATACTTGAACGGCAATGTTTGAACGCTGTGCCTTGTTTGAGGATACGACGACCACCAACAACTATCGGGAATGGCTCCATTATCATCATTCTGCTGATGGCTTCGAGTTTCGGAATACAATCGATTGCATCTGTCATTTTAGAGGTCTGGGCTTCAAAGTCATCGAGTTTCTTGGCAATGTCAGGACGTTTGTTGGCTACATACCCTGATAACTGTTGAGCAAACTTTGCTGCGTAAATTTGCCAAGGAATAGGCGAACGCATGATTTGTGCAAGCGTCATACAACCGAATTGCTCTCTAAAGTTGTTCGAATACTCCACGGAATACGATGTTACTAATGATTCGACGTCAAAAAACTTATTCATGTAATTTGTATGATCCTGTAACAGTTTTTTATCACTACATAACGAATCAGTGAAAACAGCTAAGAAATCATCTGATGGATTCTTCATTAAGTTGTGGATCTTTGAGAGTAAATTCATGTGCGAATTACGGATTGCTTGCATCGGAGCAGATAGCAAGGTTTCGATTTTATAGTATTTTGTATCTTTAAGTGTCTTGAATACGTTATCTAAAACTATTGTCAAATTTTTGAGAAATTCTCTTTCATAACTTACGAAATCAACCATCAAAATGCCAGTTGACGGGTAGCTATTAATTATATCAACAATGTGCGTTTCATTCGTATGTATATTATTTAACTGCGCGCAAATGATTTTTTTAGGATTAATGAAAAACTTGAATGGCAAGTCATCAGTGAGTTTTTTGAAGCAGAATGCCTTTAGCTGTTTTGGCCAATTAGGTGGAATGTTGTCCTCGCCAAAACCCTCGCTCCAATTCATTCTTCCTAAAAATTCAATTGAAATTTTATCGTTCCCGAAAAGAAAAGCAATTACTCTTATTTAACTCGAAGAATCTAAAAGGAATCAGATATGGTATCTAATGCGCGTGACATTAAAATTCCAAAATTTGATCAACTCAATTTGTCTTACAATTATTGTTTTTTACGTTAAAATCTTCTAATGAATATGCAAATTGAGCCCGATTTTGCAACAATATATCACCAACCAGGTGATGATATTGAAGGATACAATGGATACCATGGTATTATGAAAACTCAGGCAAAATATCCAAAAAATGCATTTAATTGGGGCTTAATTCAAGATTTTGATCCAGTAGAAGTACGCACATCTAAAAGTTCTCGACATTGTAATGAGATTGTTGAAGCTTTTTGCCAATCAACTTTCTCCGTTCCAGATATGAAAATTATTCAAAACCCGTTAGTATTCAAATTACTCGAATTACTTCAATCATGCATCATAAGAATTACAGAAAAGGATCAAAAATTACAAAAACTAGTAAAACAATATAAACAACATACAGATTCGCTTCAACTCGAGATAAAAAAGCAAAAACAGAAAGCAAAAACATACAAGCAAGTAGTATCTAAATGTAAAACTGCACAAAGATGTCCGACATGCCATAAGTTATTCGATTCTCAGTTAAATTTAGATCGACATATCAATGATTCTCATCATAAATTATATCCTTATTGGTATGCATTACGCCAAAACAATTCTAAAGGCATTAAAGACCCTGATGTCGAAATGCAGAAGGAAATTGATCAAATGAGAAGGACAATTCGTGCTCAAAATGACATGATTCTCGAAAATCAGAAGCAAACCGAAAAATTAAAGCACAAGAAACCAGAAATAGAATATGTTCCATACGTTCTTCCTTTCGAAATCGATCCTTTCCATGCAGAACCTATTCCACATGAAAAAGAAAATATTCCAACTGAACCACCAAAAGTTGTCACTGAGTCTCCTAAGAAAGTTGATCATCAGAAGGAATTATCGAAGAAACAATCCAAGGAACTTGCTAATGAATACTTAACGCGTAGAGATACTGCATCTAAGAGAATTGAAACAGGAATGAAAGAAATTTCTAAGAATATTCAAAAGAGAATACATCAGCATAGCCAGATAATGAAGATGCATGCTGAAAAGCAAGAAAAGGAAGCTCTAAGAACCTACATCGAAGAAACAAATCTCGGATTGCAACACCGCAATATGAGTTATCTTAGATTGCTACCAAGTAGAGCATCACAGGCTGTTGTTCCATTGAATGCAGAATCTTCACAGGCTTCTTACACTTCAGTTACTTTTATTCAAGATTCAGATATTCAACAAGAGGAAGAAGAAACAAAATCCAAGAAGTCAAAGAAGTCTTCATCATCTTCATCGTCAAGTTCTTCCTCTTCTTCAAGTTCTTCATCCAAATCAAAGAGTTCTTCCAAAGATAAAAAACAAAATGAATCAAATCCTGAAGATGATGACTTTGCAGAATTCTTACTTGATGAAGAAATTGCTCAGGCAGAGAAATTAAACAATGAACTTGCGCCAATTCCTGAAGCACAAGAAGACCAAAAAGATGAACATATTAGTAGTGACTCAATTCCAGTTAAAGCACAAAAAACTGTTAAAATTGAGCAACCTACACCAAACAGAGCTTCTCAGCGTGTTGAAATCACAAATGATGAACTTGATGCACTCATGGCAACAGATTCAAAATAGAATAAATGTTTGTAATGTAATAAACAGAAATTCATCAAAAGTGACAGCTCTCAATTTTTTGACATTTGTAAATTCTAAATTGAATGAGAAAAATGAAATAATACTAAGCATAATACAATATTCTAGATTTAATTATAATTAGGAAAAAGTTAGTTTTGAGAGTACTTTTCATAGGCATATAGAATGAAATCTTCTGAAAAATAATATCACATAAACTCATATTATTTTCTAATATATAACTATTTTATATAAAAATCAAATTCAATGATCTTAAAAGCGAAGGATAAACCTCAAAATTTACGAATATAATGAGTGGGAATATTGTTACATATTAAGTTCTGTCAAAATGTAAGCTATTGAATTTTTTGAGAGGGAAATAATCGTCGAGGAAGTAAAAAGTGACGCTTTAGGAAATATTATTAGAAATATGATAATAAATATATTTGGAAAAAATATGTTTTTTCAAAAATTGAAATGCTCATAGAATATTTTGAAATATGTAGGGAATTGAATTCGGTAATATATAATAAACAGGATTTTTAAATTTCAAGGAAAAATAGCTTTTGTGAATACTTTTGAGAACTCTTCTCAAAGATCATGATTCAAATATATTAAGGAGCCAAAATATTAGAGATGAGTTCACAATCAAAATTTTCTCACTTTTCTTCCAAATTGACATCCTTACTCACCACTTTCAATTTTTTCATACATATATCTTACCCATTCATTTGTAATACGAGGTCTCGAGTTTTCGTTCATTTTTTTTACTTTACAAAACTGTTTATTTTTCAGAATTTTTAAATTTGAAAAAATCCATTCTATATCTGATAAATAATATATTATTTTTCAATCAAAATATTTTGATTATCATCTCAAAAGTGTTCTCAAAACCTAGTTTTTCTTATTTTGGATAATCTTAATATTTATATTATTATAAACAAATTGAACACCATATGTTTTTGTATACTTTTACAAAAAAATTGATAGATTTGTGATACTTTCCCCGACGATAGAATTGAATAGCTTACATTTTGACAGAACTTAATATGGAACAATATAATGCTTATCTATCATAAAACCATATGAAATATCAATTTTTGCTTTACGCCTAATTTTTGACGACAATTAGCAAAAAATGTTAAATGTTAACACTCAGTCCATTTGAATATGAAAAATAAAATTGACTTTGATTAAATGTTTTTATTTATCATGCAATTCTTCTTGCGACCAAAGATTTGAATAAAAGTTCAAAAAATAAGATAGCTTAAAAAATAATATACGGTAGTGTTTACTAATAGATGAATAGTATATAAATTCTATTAAAATGGATTTGATCCAAAAAAATATAAAACCAAAAATAATTGTTATAATTTAAATGAAGAAGTAATTTAAAACGATTTTATTTATGATCAAATTTTTATATTTTTTTGGATCAAATCCATTTTAATAGAATTTATATACTATTCATCTATTAGTAAACACTACCGTATATTATTTTTTAAGCTATCTTTTTTTTTGAACTTTTATTCAAATCTTTGGTCGCAAGAAGAATTGCATGATAAATAAAAACATTTAATCAAAGTCAATTTTATTTTTCATATTCAAATGGACTGAGTGTTAACATTTAACATTTTTTGCTAATTGTCGTCAAAAATTAGGCGTAAAGCAAAAATTGATATTTCATATGGTTTTATGATAGATAAGCATTATATTCCCACTCATTATATTCGTAAATTTTGAGGTTTATCCTTCGCTTTTAAGATCATTGAATTTGATTTTTATATAAAATAGTTATATATTAGAAAATAATATGAGTTTATGTGATATTATTTTTCAGAAGATTTTGTGTTCTTCTTCAAAATTTTATTTTTTTTATTAAAAAGAATCTTTACAAAATATACATTTACTTTAATTAATATTTAAAAACGTGCTCTATCAAAAGTTCCAAAAATTCAATATTTTAGCTTTTCTGAGGTGTCACTTTTGATGAATTTCTGTTTACAACAGTAATGTATTTTTTTAATTGACATGAATGTAGTATTTTTAGCTAATTATCGGTAGTTCGAATCAATTTTTTTTGAATTTTTTATGAGGAAATGGAAACGTAGTCTTTTTTTCAACAAATACACATTTATCATCATAATTTTGGCAGTAAATGGCCTCCTTGCTGCTATCAATCTTTTAAATTGCATACATTTTTATTTTTATGATTCAAAGAACTTTAATGAAGAGCAAATGACCGCACTGCAATCCCTAATTGAAATACATTTTGTACAATTCGTATTTTTCGCTTCAACAGGGTTGGTAGATAGTTTTTTAATAATTTTCAATCCGAAAATTTGGCAATATACAGCAAACGGCATCTTATACTTTCTACATCTATTTCCGCTCAGATACCTTCTTACATGGTATCCTTTTATGCACTATTTAGACAGAGTTTTCCCTCGAAAATATACTTTTAAACCATATAATTATTATATTCCAAGATATCCTGTTGTTGACACAGTTTCAGGCAATATACTATACTATTCTGTTATTAGCATTTTTCTATACTTTTTAATCGAAGTTACTCAAATTATTCCAATAACTCAAGCATTAAAACGAAAAAAGATCGAGTCAAGACTATTAAATCATTACGATAAAGACGACGAACTACTCAAAACATCCTCATGGTATCCATTTGTAAAATATATATTTTTCTTCCTAATAATATTAGCATGGACCCAAGGATCACGAATTGTTACATTAAAAACAGTTAATGACGACGACTTTTGGCTCTTTTTCCCTTACAACAACAAAAATGTTACAAGATTTTTACGAAAACCGCTCAAAGTTGCCAATTTCAAGATTACATCGATAGGAATGCTTATAGGAGACCAAGGGAAATCAGTCAATGCGTTCATACAGTCCGATGGAGCGATTTATTTGACACAACAGTTAATTGAAGTGATGAGCGAAAGAGAAATTGCTGCATCAGTTGCCCATGAGCTAGGACATTACTATTTTAGAGATATGCTCTACTTTAGCTTCTTCTGGACCATTCCTGTTTTGTTATTTATTTTCATTTTGTATTCTTTGATGAAAAATGGTCTCGAAGAGTTCGGATTTGAGAAAGAATTACCTATAGTACCTATTATATTCATTACTTTTGCGTTTTCTGAGTCGTTTTTCAATGTTATCAGAATTGCATCGAATATCTTAAACAGAGTGTGCGAAATAAGAGCAGATTGCTTTGCAGCAAGCTTTGATCTACCAATAACTACTGCAATTCAGAAGTTAACCTCTGATCAGGAAAGATTAGATATAAAATCAATAGAATTATATCATTTCTTCTTCAGAACTCATCCAAGAGGGTTAAATAGAGATGATATATTTGCGCATTGTCCCAAATTTCCCACAAAACTATTTGATTAATTTTAATAATTTTATTTTCTTGTTTGTATATATCTAAATATTAGTAATATATTGATAAAAATTATTTAACATATTGAATTAATACTAAATATCATAGTTAATTATCATATCTTAAATTTCTCATATAATCCCAAATGCTTATTACATTCATGTATAAACAAAAGTAAATTAATGAAAAAGAATTGAAAATTTATATATTATCAAAGGTTTTAAAGAGTTTTTGATTAATTTTTAATTAAATTGTGTGATTTTTAATCCTCATTCTTCAGAATTAACTTTAACTTGTGCAGAAAAGCTTAGAACAAGATGTTGTTATTTGAAACCTTTGCGTCCTAACACTTCAGAGAGATGTTCAAGTTGTTTGGCTCTATAATAAGCAACGTCAACAACTGTACCTTGATCAGCACGAATTCGTCTATTTAAATCTGGCCTTGTTATAAGATATAAAACCACTTGAAGCTGCATTGCCCATACCGCACAAAAGAATGGAGTTTCATTAGCTCGAGTAACATCATTCACATCAAAGAAGTTTAATGCGTATTTCACTCCTTCTACATTATCCGATAAGCAAAATGCATGGAGAAATGATTCTCCATCAAATGTTCTATATCTCATGTTGCAACCATTTCTTTCTAAGGCTTTAACTAGTACCAAATCGCCTACTGAGGCAGCTTTGATTAATGCATTTGAACGTAGCAATATCCAATCACTTTCAACATAATGATTTAATATATCGCCTTTAACATCAGTGTATCCATTCCTAATCGCATATTTTATAGTTTCATCATCTCTTTCTTCTGCAGCAATTGAAAGAATCTTATAAATTCTGTTTAGATTCTCCAAATTATCAGTTTTACTGCATTTCTTTAAGGAACTTATCAATTTTGGTTCTGATAGTGCTTTTTCTGTGGTATTCATGTATGATCTAATAGAGTTTCCGATATCAGAAAAAATTCTTGTGTCTAAGATGCTTGAAAGTGAATTAATTAATATTAATGAATCAGAAATACTATCAATATTGATACTAGTATTATGTAATATTTCAAATAACTCCTTTGGATTGAAGTATCTCTTGAATCTCCCAAATACATCATTAAATTCAGAAATTGATAAACGAGCATTCTTCATAATAAGACACATCTCTTCTACATTTCTTAACTGCAAGAACTCAATATCCTTTGAGTATGTGGCAATGTTCTCACCATAGTAACGAAAGTCAATATTCGACATTAAAAATGATGGAAAACAAATTTCACAAATAGTAATTCAATTTTGAATGAATATTCAATTTTATATCACAAATAAAATTGAATTCCAAAATAACTTAATTCACAAATCTTTTTTCATTAATAAACTATAAACAAATCTTGCCATCATAGGCATTACAGTTAAATCACAAATTATATAAAGTTCAGAAAAAAGTCGTAAATGTGATAATTTTGAATGTAAACCAAATGATGCAAGAATATTGAACATTTTTTCCCCACTTTTGCTACTGAGTCGTGAGTACTTTGGTCTAAAGATTCTAATAAGCAACAGTTTGCTGAAAAATACACAGAACATGAAATGCGATGTCTTTATATACTTCCATTTTAGCTCAAAGAATTTATGCAATTGTTTAAGTGTTTTTATCTCACCAACTAAATGTTTTTATACGAAATTCTAAAGAGCTGTATTTTTCCATTTTGATTCTTGTACAAACCCATCTCATTAAATAAAGAAATTAAGAAATCAGAAAAAATTTATTATTTTTTATAATAAAAAACTCTTTTTTTATTTTATTTAGAAATTTGGTGGAAATTTATTTAGTTTAGTACATTCCACCACCCATTGGCGGCATGGCCGGTGCAGCTGGTTTCTCCTCAGGAACATCAGTGATCATGCAGTCAGCAGACATCATTGAAGCAGCGACAGAAGCGGAGTTGATGAGGGAAAGTCTTACGACCTTTGTTGGATCGATGATTCCCTTCTTGAACATGTCTCCGTACTCCATCTCTCTTGCGTCGAATCCGAACTTCTTGTCCTTCTTTGCCAAGACCTTGTCGACAACGACATCGCCAGATAATCCAGCGTTGAGGGCGATAGCCTTGATTGGCATCTGTATTGCGTTTCTTACGATTTCAATTCCTGTTCTCTGTAGGAGAGATTCCTTCTTGAGGTTGTCGAGAGCGAGGGAAGCGTTGAGGAGAGCGATACCACCACCAGCAACGATGCCTTCCTCGATGGCAGCTCTTGTAGCGTTGAGTGCGTCGTCGATCAAATCCTTTGTCTCATTAACTTCGACTTCTGAAGCACCGCCGACATTGATGACAGCGACACCACCTGTAAGTTTAGCGAGACGTTCCTTGAGTTTGTCCTTTTCGTACTTGGATTCTGTGCTTTCGAGTTGTTTGCGGATTTCCTCTGCACGGCCCTTGATTGAGTCCTTCTGGCCGGCGCCGCCCATTACGATGCAGTCGTCCTTGGAGACTGTGATCTTTGAGCATTGGCCGAGCTGGGAAAGTTGGATTGATTCGAGCTTGAGGCCGAGTTCTTCAGCAATGACTTGGCCGCCTGTGACTGTTGCGATATCCTGGAGTGTGGCCTTCTTGTTGTCACCGAATCCTGGAGCTTTGACGGCGCAAACTTTGAGACCACCGCGGATCTTGTTGACAATGAGGGTTGCGAGGGCGTCGCCTTCAACATCGTCGGCAATGATGAGGAGTGGGCGGTTGGCATGGATGCAAGCTTCAAGAGCTGGAGCGATAGTAGCGAATGAAGAGATCTTCATGTCTGTGATGAGGATGTATGGGTTTTCGTATTCGCACTTCATTGTCTTGTTGTTTGTCATGAAGAAGGCTGAGAGATAGCCACGATCGATCTTCATGCCCTCGACAACTTCGAGTTTGTGCTCGAATGAGTTGCCGTTTTGGACTGTGATGACGCCCTCTTGGCCGACAGCCTTGAAAGCCTTGGCAATGAGCTCGCCGATTGTGTGGTCGCCATTTGCGGAAACTGTAGCAACTTGGGCGATTTCACTGTCGGAGGAAACCTTGCGGCTGAGCTTCTTGATCTCAGCAACGGCTGCATCGACAGCAAGTGTCATGCCCTTGCGAACTTCGTTTGGATCAAGACCAGATGAGAGAGCTTTGAGGGCTTCCTTGTAGAGTTCGCGTGTAAGGAGTGTAGCTGTTGTTGTACCATCACCGGCGACATCGTTTGTCTTCTGGGCAACGGAAATAACAAGTTGGGCGCCCATGTTGTGCCATTTGTCAGCAAATTCGATGGATTTGGCAACAGTAACACCATCCTTTGTGACTTTTGGCGGGCCAAATGGCTGCTCAATCATGACGTTGCGTCCTTTTGGTCCTAATGTGGAAACAACGGCGTCAGCAAGCTTGTTGACACCTTCAAGGAGAACCTGACGGGCTTCGGCACCAAACTTAAGTTCTTTGGCACGAACAAATGATCGGACGAAAGCTGAACTCGCTTTGGAAAGCATGAATTAGCTAAAAGTAAAATGATCGGTTTTCCTTCATTCAATTTTTCTGCTCCAGCCAAATATAAAAAATCATAGGGGTTTCTTGTGAAAATTTTAAAGCAAAATATATGGCTACCGATGATCCTTTTTCCCAGCAAAATTTTGGATAAATTCAAAAATTTTCCCTTGATTTTCAGTTGTTCGTTCATATTCATACTCTCTAAAACTACATGTAGATTTATCACGAGCAGGAATCCATGATATTGAGTGAGATTATCCAAAATATTATAGCTTTAGACGAATTTGAATCAAATATTGCTCACATTTGAATAATTATGATAAAATATTATTACCCAATCCATAAATATGTCATTAACAATTATAGTGTTGTAAACAGAAATTCATCAAAAGTGACACATCAGAAAAGCTAAAATATTGAATTTTTGGAACTTTTGATAGAGCACGTTTTTAAATATTAATTAAAGTAAATGTATATTTTGTAAAGATTATTTTTAATAAAAAATAAAATTTTGAAGAAGAACACAAAATCTTCTGAAAAATAATATCACATAAACTCATATTATTTTCTAATATATAACTATTTTATATAAAAATCAAATTCAATGATCTTAAAAGCGAAGGATAAACCTCAAAATTTACGAATATAATGAGTGGGAATATAATGCTTATCTATCATAAAACCATATGAAATATCAATTTTTGCTTTACGCCTAATTTTTGACGACAATTAGCAAAGGCGTCAAAAATTTTCTCACTGGGTTTTCGTCTATCAATCCCAGCTCATTATATACGCAACCAATCAAAAATCTGATATGGGAGTCCAAGGCTAACTTTTTGTCGTCTACCTAATAAAAGAGGAAGCAGCATTAGTGAGAATAATCGCAAATATTCAATTTAAATTATCTTTTTATTCTTAATTTAAAGTGACAAAAAGAATAAAAAACCTATTCTAAGGCATGTTGTTATGTAAATGAGACTAGACATCATATTTTATGTTATGAAAAAAAAATATTTAGAATTTTAGAACAAAATAAATAGAAAAAATAGCATAACTTATGGATGTGCGTATATTAAATTTAATAAATTAAGAGAAATTATTTTTGGCGCCAAAATTATTCGTTAACTCTCAAATTTTTCTGAGTCAATAAGCCGCCAAAAAAGTGTCATTTTGTTTCGTTAGAGAAAGATGAATTGTCCATGTCATCCAATCGGGAACAAGGGGGATGGGGATTAGATGATAAAGAAGCAATTCATGCTCTCTATCTGAAGCAATCAGACTTACCAGCAACAATGTGAATCGATTTGGCTTTAAAGTTAATATAGCAGATCAGCTTGTTACTGGAGAGACTAGGCATTACGATTGATTCGCTGTAGTGCTCTACTTTAATTTAAGAGTAGTAACGGATAACTGAATTCCCAAAATTCTTTAGGTGATCCAAAACACTGTAGCTGCTTGAACTTTGGACGAGCCTCGCACCCCAGAGAATAGAAATCCCAATCTTGCTCATGTTTAGTTGAATTAGTCTGCAGCAGTACAGCTCTGATACCACAAGATCGTGATGTATACAAAGTCACAACGCTATTTGATTCAACAACTAGCTAGTTTTGACATCAAATTGCAAAATTTGACTTCGTTATGAGCTCTTTGTAGCAAAAATACATTACACTTAAAGACTAGTTGCTAGACTGTAGTAGTTTGTTCGTATATATCTATTTTTCCCCAACGTATTGCATACTACATTTTGACAAGACTTGCAACCTTATAGTAACCTCGTTGGGAATTGTTCAAGCAAAGCGTAGGTAGTTAAGGTCGAGTAAGAGTTCTTCTTAAATCTTTCACTGAATGAGTAGGTGTTGGAAGAACTGTTCTCTAAAGCGATACAGTTGCGCTACATGTTCGTCAACTTGTCTAGAAATAAATATATCATTTGTTTTATACGTTTTTTCGTAATAAATCTATTTGTATTTGTTGTATTTGAGTATGAAGATAACAAAAACTACGGCATAAGACGCAGTACACTGGGCTTCGTTGCCATTTTATTTACCATGTTAAGAATAAACTTAACAGACATGCTTTGTTTTCGACGAAGCCATCTAAAATAACGTACATCTAAATAAAACTAAAAAACTGTAAAATTTCTTTATTTGATAGTATACTTCAAATTATGCACTATACCTTCTAGAATTCTATAACACTCTTTGCATATAATTTTTTAAAAAAAAGTTATATCTCGACAAAAATATGATTTATCAATAGAGTATGTAAAATAAAACTCATTCGCAGTATTAAAAAATCGTAAATCTTTCCAAAAAAATTTTGAATTACAAATTTTAAAACTTAAAACAACATTTTTTGAAGCGAAAAAACGAAATCTAATTTTTTTTGGAAAATTTAGAATAAATAGAGCTCTTTAACTCGTCGAATACAAATTGTTTTCAAGTTTTTTTCGACCGGAAATTGAACTTTTAGAGTTTATACAATAAGATTCACATGAAAAAATACGGGTTTAACAAAGAAATCACCAATATAAAGGTTTTTTAGTAGAACGAGATTGATAAAAACTATGGTATGATAAAAAGACGATAATTTTTTTGGCGGGATAATTGAAGAATATGAATGATTCGAATTACAGACATACTCTAGTCCGAAACTTACTATGGTTCGTGACTTATTTTTGACACAGAATAGCTGTAGACTAAGGCTTACTCTAGATCCAGACTTATTATACAATTAAATTTGCTTTTGGAATAAGACTTAATTTTAGTTACAAACTTATCTTAATATCAGACTTATATTTAGAATCAGACTTACTTTAGTCTAGAACTTACATTTAGAATCAGACTTCCATTTCAAGTCAGACTTACTTTCGTCCGAAACTTACATTTCAAGTCAGACTTACTTTCGTCCGAGACTTACATTTCAAGTCAGACTTACATTTCAAGTCATACTTACTTTCGTCCGAGACTTACATTTCAAGTCAGACTTACTTTCGTCCGAGACTTACATTTCAAGTCAGACTTACTTTCGTCCGAGACTTACATTTCAAGTCAGACTTCCATTTCAAGTCTGTCTTACTTTCGTCCGAGACTTACATTTCAAGTCAGACTTACTTTCGTCCGAGACTTACATTTCAAGTCAGACTTACATTTCAAGTCAGACTTACTTTCGTCCGAGACTTACATTTCAAGTCAGACTTACTTTCGTCCGAGACTTACATTTCAAGTCAGACTTACTTTCGTCCGAGACTTACATTTCAAGTCAGACTTCCATTTCAAGTCAGTCTTACTTTCGTCCGAGACTTACATTTCAAGTCAGACTTACTTTCGTCCGAGACTTACATTTCAAGTCAGACTTAAATTTCAAGTCAGACTTACTTTCGTCCGAGACTTACATTTCAAGTCAGACTTACTTTCGTCTGAGACTTACATTTCTATTCAGACTTACTTTCGTCCGAGACTTACATTTCAAGTCAGACTTTCATTTCAAGTCAGTCTTACTTTCGTCCGAGACTTACATTTCAAGTCAGACTTACTTTCGTCCGAGACTTACATTTCAAGTCAGACTTAAATTTCAAGTCAGACTTACTTTCGTCCGAGACTTACATTTCAAGTCAGACTTACTTTCGTCCGAGACTTACATTTCAAGTCAGACTTACATTTCAAGTTATACTTACATTTCAAGTCAGACTTACATTTCATGTCAGACTTACTTTCGTCTGAGACTTACATTTCTATTCAGACTTACTTTCGTCCGAGACTTACATTTCAAGTCAGACTTACTTTCGTCCGAGACTTACATTTCTAGTCAGACTTACATTTCAAGTCAGTCTTACTTTCGTCCGAGACTTACATTTCAAGTTATACTTACTTTCGTCCGAGACTTACATTTCAAGTCAGACTTACTTTCGTCCGAGACTTCCATTTCAAGTCAGACTTACTTTCGTCCGAGACTTACATTTCTAGTCAGACTTACTTTCGTCTGAGACTTACATTTCTAGTCAGACTTACATTTCAAGTTATACTTACTTTCGTCCGAGACTTACATTTCTAGTCAGACTTACATTTCAAGTCAGTCTTACTTTCGTCCGAGACTTACATTTCAAGTTATACTTACTTTCGTCCGAGACTTACATTTCAAGTCAGACTTACTTTCGTCCGAGACTTCCATTTCAAGTCAGACTTACTTTCGTCCGAGACTTACATTTCTAGTCAGACTTACTTTCGTCTGAGACTTACATTTCTAGTCAGACTTACATTTCAAGTCAGACTTACTTTCGTCCGAGACTTACATTTCTAGTCAGACTTACATTTCAAGTCAGTCTTACTTTCGTCCGAGACTTACATTTCAAGTTATACTTACTTTCGTCCGAGACTTACATTTCAAGTCAGACTTACTTTCGTCCGAGACTTCCATTTCAAGTCAGACTTACTTTCGTCCGAGACTTACATTTCTAGTCAGACTTACTTTCGTCTGAGACTTACATTTCTAGTCAGACTTACTTTCGTCCGAGACTTACATTTCTAGTCAGACTTACTTTCTTCCAAGACTTACATTTCAAGTCATACTTACTTTCTTCCAAGACTTACATTTTAAGTCATACTTACATTAATATCAAACTTATATTAACCTACGACTTACTTTTATTCCCAGACATCTTGATCCACACTGACATTGAAAACCACTCATACATCTAAAGCCACTCAAACATCTAGATCCACTACGACATGGAGATCCACTCAAACATAATTTTTGCTCTCTAACTACATTTTTATATGATTTTACAACCTAAATTTTCTTCTTTACCTAAAGATTATTCGCAATATCTGAATATCATTAATTAATTGAGATATTCAAGTTTTGACAGCGGATTTGGAAAGCAGACTTGATGGAGATTTTAAATCTGATGTCAAATCTTGGTTTTGTGCATTATTGGAAGAGAAAAAAGGGTGTTAATTGCAAATCTTAAATATAGGTTTCTACGAAAAATGTAATTAGGGTT